TCAGCACCACATACAAACAAAGATGTTGTGTCCACCGAAAACTAAAGAATAAAATATTTTAAAAAATAAAAAATAAAAAAATAAAATAAAATAAAATGGGCTGGGCTGGGGATATGGATCAATGGTTAAGTGCTCCTGGGTCCAATCCCTGGTACCTCTCCCAAAAACAAGTTTTTAAAATAATGAAGGGGCTGGGATTATGGCTCAGTAGTAGAGCGCTCCTCTAGCACATGCGAGAAGCTAGGTTCAATCTTCAGTACCACATAAAAATAGATAAAATAAAGGTATTATATCCAACTAAACTAAAAAATATATTTAAAAAAATAATAATGAACTAGGGAGGTAGCTCAGCAGTATAGTGTTTGCCCGATATGTGTGAAACACTGGGTTTGATCCCCAGCAGTGGAAAAAAAAATGGTTAAAAATTAATTTAAAAGGCCTGATTCAGTTAAAGAATGGTATTGTCAATAAGGAAAATTTTCAATGGGTTTTGAATTTTTCAAGTCCTAGTTCACAGAAAGAATCATAAGAACTAATTGAAGTGTTGTTATCAAAAAGTTTTACTGGAACCAGGTGCGGTGAGTGGCACATATCTGTAATCCTAGCTACTGGAGAAGGTGAAGCAGAAGGATCTTAAGTTCCAAGCCAGTCTAGGAAATTTAGTGCAACTCTGTCTCAAAAAATAAAAAGCACTAGGGTTGTAGTTCAGAGGTAGAGCACTTCCATAGTGTGTACATACCTTGGTTCAGTCTAGAGTAATACACGCACACACGTGGAGCTTTACTGGGAACAAAAAAAGTTTTAAAGCCTTACTGCTGGCTGGGAATGTGGCTCAAGCAGTAGCGCCCTCGCCTGGCATGCGTGCAGCCCGGGTTCGATCCTCAACACCACATACAAACAAAGATGTTGTGTCCGCCGATAATTAAAAAAAATAAATATTAAAATTCTCTCTCTCTCTCTCTCTCTCTTAAAAAAAAAAAAAAAAAAAAGCCTTACTGCTACAAATGGAACAATCCTGTAATCCCAGAAACTCAGTAGGCTGAGGAAGGAGGATCACAAGTTCAAGGCCAGCCTCAGCAACCTAGCCAGTCCCTGTCTCAAAAGAAAAAATTAGAGAAACGGACTGGGAATGTGGCTCAGGGGTAAAGAGCCCCTGGGTTCAATCACCAGTCTCAAAAGAATAAAAAATAACAAGTCTTACTAGAGAAAACTATCATTGTTCTAGAACTAAGGCGGCAGTGGAGGGCAGGAGGGGCTTCCTGGGCACTGTACAAATGAAGGTAATTGATTAATCCTGGGCCTGTACTTGTTTACTTTTTTTTAATATATTTATTTTTTTAGTTCTAGGTGGACACAATGTCTTTGTTTTACTTTATATGGTGCTGAGGATCAAACTCAGTGCCTCACACATGCTAGGCACACACTGTACCTCTGAGCCACAACCCAGCCCTGTACTTGTTTCCTTTCTGTGTGAAGAAGTCCTTCTGAACTTTTGAGATGTTGAATATAAAATATCTTGTTAGTGGGGCTGGGGCTGTGGCTCAGTGGTAGCATACTTTCCTGGCATGCATGAGGCACTAGATTTGATTCTCAGCACCATGTGTAAATAAATAAAATAAAAGTCTATCAACAACAACAAAAAAATATTTTTAAAAAAATCGTGTTAGGGTCATCCCCTAAATGTTTCCTATTTGTTGTTTCTTTTTAGAGATTAATTGGTGGTTGTTTATTGTTCTGTAGTGCTGGGGATGAAACCCAAAGCCCTGTGAAAGCCAGCAAAGTGCTGCACTATGGAACAACCTCACCAGCCATTCTTTTCAGAGATTTCTTCCTTTCATGTCTACTTTCAGAGATGACTTGCTACTTATTGGACCAGGGAATAGGAACTATACTTATATGGCCCAGGCTGTAAATAAAGGGGTGACCCTTGTGGGACTCTGGGACCGGAGACACCCAGGCATGGCAGACTATATTCCTGTTGCTGTGGAGCATGCCATTGAGCCAGACACCAAGCTTACCTTTGTTGGGGATGTCATCTGCTTCAGCACTCACCTCGTCAACCAGCATGGTCTGTACACCTCCTCTCTCAACCCTAGCTGACATTCTGTGGACTTGAAAGCAGTTAATGCCATAGAGAATTCTCACCCTCAAATTACCTAAAATCTGGGCTGGGAATGTAGTTCAGTGGCAGAGTGCTTGCCTAGCATATGTAAGGCCTGGAGTTCAATCCCCAGCAGGGTTACAAAAATAAAAGATGCTTTTTCTTGTCTTTTCCTAGGTGAACCTGGGATATGGATGATTTCTGCTGACAGTATTCTACAGACAGACATTGTCACTGGAGTAGGAGTAGCCAGGAGTCCAGGAACTGCAACGATTTTTCATGACATTCCAGGAGTAGTGAAAACATACCGAGAGGTAAATCTAACTAACTATACCAGAGTGGAAGAGTAATTGTTTTCATATATGTGGATATGATATAGAAAACAACCTATGAAAGGAGATGCACTCACAGATATAAAACCAAACTTTATTAAAACATAACAATGCTTGCCCAGCACGGTGGTGCGTACCTGTAATCCCAGTGGCTCAGGAGGCTGAGACAGGAGGATCTCTAGTTCAAAGCCAGCCCCACAATGATGAGGCGCTAAACAACTCAGTGAGACCCTGTCTTTAACTAAAATACAAAATAATAGGGCTGGGGATGTGACTTAGTGGTCTAGTGCCCCTGAGTTCAATCCCTGGTACCAAAAAAAAAAAAAAAACATAACAGTGCTTAAGATTCTTTACCAGAAGAATGTCTAATCTGATTTCTGTTTTCACACTGTGGCTGCTGGATAATACTAGACAATAAGGCAAGACTAGAATCTAAAAGACCAATAATCCAGGTAAGATATTATGGTGGACCAGGTTAGGAACAGAGGAGGTGGTAAAATCTAGGTATATTTTATAGGTAGAACCAATAGAACTTGATGGATTATATGTAGTATGAGAGAATCAAGAATGATTAGGAAAAAAGAAGAGCCAGGCACCATGGGCATGAGCATGTAGTACCAGCTACCTGGAAAGCTGAGGCATAAGGATGGCTTGAGCCCAAGAATTCCAGATCAGCCTGGGCAACAAATAAAGACCATGGCTTTAAAATAACAATCATCATCATCATCATCATCATCATCATCATCATCATCACCACCACCACCATTATCACCATCATCATCATCCATGGTTCATGGTGTATTTTTAAATTTTCTTTCTTTTATCTTTTCTTCAATTTTTTTTTTCTTTTCTTTTAAGCTGGAGTTTGAACCCAGGGACACTCTGCGGCTAAGCTATACCCCAGTCCTTTTTATATTTTAAGACAGGGTCTCACTAAGTTGCCCAAACTGGCCTTCAACTTGTGAGCCTCCTGCCTCAGCCTCCAGAATCATTGGAATTACAGGTTTGTGCCACTGCACTTGGCAAGATTCATGTTTTTAGTTGAAGAACTAAAAGGATAGAATAACCAGGGGTGGGATTATAGCTCAGTGAGACCCTGACTTCCAACCCAAACACAAAACACAAAACAAAAACTGAAAAGGGTAGCATTACCGTCAACTAAAATGGTTAAATCAATAGGTGCAACAGTTCTGGAGGGAAAGTCAGTTAATTCAGACAAGTAAAATTGCATATGTCTATTAGATGTCAAATGGATATATTGAGATAGCTGGATATAAAAGTCCAGTACTCATTTGAATCAAGATTTTTTTTTTAAAAGCTCAAAGGAGCACTGATTTTTTTTTTTTTAGAGAGAGAGAGAGAGAGAAATTTTTTAATATTTATTTATTTTTTTAGTTTTTGGCAGACACAACATCTTTGTTTGTATGTGGTGCTGAGGATAGAACCCGGCTGCACGCATGCCAGGCGAGCGCGCTACCGCTTGAGCCACATCTCCAGCCCTGAATCAAGATATTTAAAGCCATTTAATAGAGCACTTGCCAAGCATTCACAAGACCCCTGAGTTCAATTCCCAGAGCCACAAAAATAATTTAAATAAATAAATTAATAAATAAGCAAGCAAGCCATTTGAGCCAGATATAGTGACACATGCCTATAATCCTAGCTACTTGGGAAGTTTAGGCAGGATTAAAAATTCAAGGCCAGGGCTGGAGATATAGCTCAGTTAGTTGGTAGAGTATTTGTCT